GTTACAAACATTCAGACAATACATCACCATTACATTACATAAATACATTAAAGAACAAACATATGGAGCATGTTTTAATAGCTTTGGGGAACTTACCTTGTTATGAGAAGCTCCAGACAAGACGCCATACTGCTGTCTCCAAGGCAAACACGTGACGTCACAGATACGTTGCGCTTGTGGGGGCAACTCTTTAGCAAACACCATCTCTTTAGGGAAACTGACAAACCTATCTTTGAATTTGACTATCTTTGAATGTTTAATTAACATTGTATTTTTAACATACAACACCAGCACTGGTATTGCTCTGTAGATTTCGATTCATTCCCAAAAAGATTTATTATGGAAAGTATTTTTTTTCTTTCAGTTTAATATTGTCTTTAAATGCCGGTTCTCTAAGATGCAAAAACAAGTAAAATGTCTTGCCTAGGAAAAAAACTGTATTGAACAATTATTTTGTGGTAGTTTACTGCCAGTTGTTAGTCTTGATTTTGACAAGAGAAGAAGACATCAAATTGACAATATCCTACCGTATTTTGGAATAACAGTATGTTACTGCTGGAATTCCGCTGTAAATTTACAGCCATTTCTAAGTGCGTACTGAAATATCCAGTAATCTACCTGTTAAAAGAAAATGTACTCTATCATATTACATGAACTGCTTGCTTTACTTTCTCCACCTTGTACTTTGAACAATTTCATGCATATTGTATTGAAGAAAAAATTATGAAGCATACTGCATTTTGTATTGCACAGCTGATATGTCAGACCTTTTAATAAGCAATATGTGAATGAAAGCAACATGTGAAACATGCACATTATTCCACGTAATATGTTTTGTAATTATGGTGCACATTTTGAAATAAATGCATTTGAGAAAATCACTGCCTCTTTATTAAATGTTTATTTTCCAAAGAATTTTTAGAAGTTCAAAACAATAAAATACCTATCTAATATTAATTACAAATAACTCTTAAGAAGTTTAAAAAAATACCCTGTGAGAGTTAATATTAAGATTTAACACTGAATTAGTGTTAGTAAGCAGATTTGATATTTGACACTTTATAAGAGTTAAGGTACCAACTCTCCAAAAAGAGTTAAATTAACACTTTCTGGTGTGAACCCATATAGACACTTTTAAAGTGTTGAAATCAAATCTGACAGAGTTAATCTGGGCCTGCTGGATTTGCTGTGTACATTCAAATATCTTCTTCAAGAGATATTTTTCTGCTTCCTAAAGGAACAATCAAAGGTAATGCAGTGACATCTGCAACATGATCTTCATAGTCCCAGAAGAGAAAGAATGATAATGAAAGTTTTACAGAGCTGTAATTCATCTTCCTTGTGTGTGTGTTTTGTGTGTGTGTTTTGTGTGTGGGTGTACGTGTGCGTGTGGGTGTTTTTTGTGTGCTTGTAATCATCGAGGGAAATAATCTTTTTGATTCTGAAATATTTTAGTCATAACATCTATTTATCTATTGAACCACAATCTTTTCCTTCTACTCTGTGACATTTTTATGTGTTGAATATCAGAATTGTGCATTTTAAATGTTGAAGCAAACACCCGAGCATAAAAAACTGATGGGAGAGTTTTTTATGGTCATGACTGTAGTTCTGTAATTGGGTAGCTTTCCAGCTTATTTTTTAGGCTTCAGATATTGCTTGCAATGATGAAATCATGATTGATGAAATCAGACTGTAATTTCGCTTATCCAACATGTTAACGTTTTGGTTTTGTGTTTCTCTTACACTTGATGTAGCAGCCATACCCCTCCCTCCCCCACTCTCTTTTCACATACATTGTCACATTCCTTTGTTTCTTCTCACTGTGTTCCTACAGATGACCCGTCAGCCAACTGGCTTCATGCACGCTCCTCCAGGAAGAAGAGGTGTCCATACACTAAGTACCAGACCCTAGAGCTTGAAAAGGAATTTTTGTTCAACATGTATCTCACAAGAGACCGGAGGCATGAGGTGGCCCGTGCACTGAACCTGACAGAGAGGCAGGTTAAGATTTGGTTCCAGAACCGGAGAATGAAAATGAAGAAACAGAGCAAAGACCAGACCAAGGAGTAGTGGGACTAAGAGCACATTACAAATGATCACTCACCACTTTCTCTCTCTCTCACTCTCTTACACCCACACATATACAGATTCATAGCATATAGTTAATTCATCGTGAAGCACCTTTTTTGTATAACCAGCATACAATGGCCTTTCTGAACAGACATGTACATCAACTTTCATTTCCATCAGTTAGTCTCTTCAAATGATAAACCAGGAGGCTTTGACACAGTATTCAAAATATGCAAAAGAAAAAGTCAGATTCATACAGAGCTTTTAATGAAATCAGTGAATTGAGTTTGACTCTATGTCTTAAATACATGAACACATAGATATAGTTAAGGGATGTGGGAAGTCCATTGGCTTGGACCAGAGTTTATAGAACCACCAACATCTGAAAGAAGATTAGTGTTCACTTCCTGTAATGCATGAAATTGTTTAGCTTATGTTAATGAATGAGGTTGATCGTGCAGCAGTTCCTTATGGGCATTTTCTCCTTTCAATTATTCTTTCTTTCTTTCAAACTGTGCTATTCCTTATTTTTGATACATGATGCCAACAGAAGCACATAGAAGTGGTGAAACTGTATCCAAAAATTAAATACCATCCACAGACCTTTATGCTAACATATGAATAATAACAGCTTTGTAAAGTTGTACAATTGTTTTAAATTTTGTTTAATTCAGACTGTACAAAACCACAAATTCAAGAAAAGACTATTCCATTATTTTTCGAACAAAGTATATTGTCTTTGTGAAAACACTCACCCTGAACTGACCTGTCCAGGGAGTGACCTGCTTCTTGGCCTGTGACCGCTGGAGATGGGCGCCAGCTTTGGAAAACCAGTTTCTCACCAGTCCTGACATTCCTAAAACAAGGACATTTATAGATTTGGCGGCTTTCTAAACAAGAGTTGCATTGTCTCAAGCAGCATGTGCAGCATACACAGATCATCAGTCAGCAGAAGGAAAATAACAGCATATTGCCATAGTCCAGATTTTATTCACTGTGCTGTCAAGCTGCATTTTAGAAGAAATTCTCTCTATTTTTCTACATACAAAATACTTAGTGTCTGCTATGCAAGGTTTTTGTTATTTCAGGATGTTTACTGCAAAAGGGCTATCAACTCCTGTAAGTAATGACTGCTTGAATGATTTGGCATCATTCACTGATGCTTAACTCCTGAACATGTTTCTATAACTACCGTGATACTTAGGATTGATTTCCTGTTTGTTTCTGCTGCTGTTTTAACATGATAGTTCTGACCATTATTGTTTGAGGATATCTTCTAAACATTTATGATTATTATGTTTCAATCAAAAACTGGTGGTGGCAATGTTGGCCAACCATTCTGTATCTGTGCTGTTGGGTGAAGTGTGGACATGAATGGTATCTAGTTTGCATTTGGGAAAGTTTTGTGTGAGTAGAGTGTTAGTCATTGTGTGAGTGTAGGTGAATGCTGGTAAGTGTGCTCATGAGCAGATAAGTGTGAGTGAGTTCATGAGAGTGTGTGTGTGTGGTGAGGGGTTGGAGGTGGTGAGTTGAGTGCCAGCAAGTGAATGTAGGTGAGTGAGAGTGTGAGTGCAAGTGTGTTCACAGGGCTGGGGCATGAACAGGTGAGTTTGGGTGAGTGTATGTAAATGTGTGTGAGTTTGGAGGAGTGTAACGTGGTCAACTACAACAGTCCTATCCAGACAAGAGCTACAAATTTTAAAATAAGCAGCATCACACTCTCCATTGATGAGAGAAAATGTTTACATGGTTTGTGCATGCGTCGAGTTATTTTGAACTGGTTATTTTGTTGCCGTATTCTGTTGTGTGTTAAATCTATCTAACGGCATTGCTTGCTGGAAATATTGCTAGAAAAATAATTAAAATGTCTTAACATGAAACATTTCTAATTTATTGTACACAAAGCAAGTAACCTTGTGTTTCATGATGAAATAAGTCGAATATGTTGAATATAATTTTTTTTAAACATTATCTTGCTGTACTATGGATTATTTTCTGTTGTCCATGTTGTGCTGTCTGAATTATATAGTTTGAGGTCAGTCTGATGAGTTTTGTGTGTCTTTTATTGTGAATTTATTTGATAGTGATCATTAATGACTGTGTTTTGGAAAAGAGGAGAGGAAAAGATATGATAAAGATTAAGTAATGCTAAACAAAATTGATTTAAGCACTCATTTTTATTGTGGTTTCTTAACCTTTAAAGACTTTGTGTTGGTTACTGTCTTAGTATTTTGATCTCCTGACAAAATGAGTCTGTTAAGATTTGCTGTGGATTAATCTGTTCAGTGTTCTTGAAATTAATACATATAATCTAAACCATGTGGTCACAGTAAGAGTCTTTCTTAATGAGCACACAAACTCCTACTTTAGTTTTTTTTTCTTTCCTCCCCTCTTCTCTCTGCATTGTATCTCATTCTTTGTGCACTGGCACTGCTCATTATAGATTCATATTAAATTTAAGACCTTATGCCAGTCTGACTGTTTTGGTTTCTGCTTCCTTTTTTAACTGTTTATTTTCAGTTATTTATTTATTTTTTACAGAGAAAGAGAGCAACAGCAATGATTTTGTTTAAATTAAAACATTTATTTTTCAGTGTGAAACTTGGATGAGATAGGAATGGGAACCTGTTTTATTTTTTCACCCCTTGAAAAAAAATCTGAACAGAATGAGACATTGAGAAAGACTCGGATGAGTAAAGCATGTGGCTCAAATATGTCTCCTCAGTTGTGTCTCTGCTGCTGTACACTAGAGCTTAAAGGAAAAGGGCGTCAGTCTGGCTGAACACCAAAAGAAATCATAATTCCCTTTACACACACACTCACAAACACGCACACACACATACGCACATATGCATACACACAAATAGATGACAAATGCATTCACTGGGGGCCACATCATGCATCCATTAAGAGTTTCCAATGCCATTGTGGTTCCTGTTTGTCTTTACACAGAACAAGGCTGATCCACAGTATGATTCGCATTTCCAGGCTGTTATTACTTTACAATTTTATGTTTCCAGTTTTTTTATAGGTGTAGTTAAGAAGGCTTTTCCATTTGCAATTTTTGAATATTGTTTAAGCACAATTTAGAAAACATCGGCTAGTTCTTCATCACACTTCAAACAATTACCAAAATACTTCAGAATGTTTTCAATTTGGAACACTTCAGTCAAAGCTTACAATTTCTGATAAAAACCCTATTTTGTAGTCAAAACATCTGGTACATGCATCATGTGGTCTCATTGTTTGACTCAGTAAGACATGTCTTTGCTTATCTTACAGATGTTTTTTTTTTTTTTTTGATTGATTAAGCACAATTTTGAAAACACAGCACCCGGTTTTTTCAACAATATCAAAAACTTATCTTACTACTTAACGGATCTCTAAAGTGACAGCATAGCAAACAGAAACTACTCAAAAGTGCTTTTAATATCACAATCATTTGTGGTTCGTGCTAAAGATGTTCTGGTTAAATTAAACTAGTAATTTTTCTGAGTTCAAGCTGTAACTGACAGGGTGTAACTCAAACCCTGGCGTCTTGGTTATTTTTTCTGCTTGGCTTGCCAAAACAGTTTAATAGTTTAGCACTTACAAATTAGCAGGTTACATAAACAATAGTGTCTGCAAAGTGCATGTAAATTCCCTAGGAGATAATATACGTAAACACAACTATCTGTTTATTCTATATACCCATACCTGGGGTGGCTGCTCGTTCCCAACCACAGTGGTCAATGGACAGGGTACACCTTGGATGAGTCGCCAATCCATCACAGGGCAACACTGAGACATGTTTAATATGAAGGCATAAAAATTTACAATTTTGCATTGATGTGTATGTACAGTTAATCTCATTTGGTTGTATTAAATATGATTACTGAATTTACTGAGGGCATGCAGTGGTGCCATCCAAAACAGAAAAGTAAGGTTCTTCAATTTTTTTTTTGTTGTTGTAATTTTTACTCTAACATTCCTCCTATCTTAAAAAAGATGGGAGGTATTTTAATAACCACACACACAGAAATTCTTACTTTGAAAACTTACATGACTGCATCACACTGCCACTAAGACTGTGGCCTGAACTTTACCCATATTTTAGCTTTACCAGTTGCTGCTTGGAAGCTGGAAAGAAGGACAGGGGCTACATATAACCAGTTGAGTGAGAAACTGAGCCAAAGAAGAAATTATCCAGTGTTGTAATGTCAGAAATGTTGGAAGAAGGCATATTATCAATACGTTAGCCCACCAGATATTTAAGTTTATTTGGTATTTTTAACCCTTAAACTGTACTGGCTACAGAAATCCATCAAGTCTTGCTAAAAGTCCAAAAGCATTTACCATTTATTTAAGTTTGACAAAACGTTAAACTTCAGCACCTTGCTAATGTGTTCTATCTGGTTTTATGAACCGATCTTCTTTGTTAGTAACTGTACTCTGATCTTGGTAAGTCGGATTTGGTCATATGTATAAATATATATAGACCAGAGTTTTACTGCAGTTCAGCCTCAGAACTTCATCAGCAAATCTGGAACCTTTCTTCTGTGTTGTTGATGATTTGGAGCAACAATACAATATGCTGTTTTTAGATTGGATAAATGCTTGGACGCAGTTTTATCAGCATTTTTCTGCAATATCTACAATTATTTTAACATACAGAATTATCAGCGGCAAACACCTATGTTTGATCAACTTTACTTTAGATTACTAGTTCCATGACTGCAGTCTGTGAAATGTGATATAGTACTCTAAAGTAGCTAGCAGGGTTAGAGATTCATGAAATTTACAAGCCCTGTTCCCCAGCTGTAAACCTTCCTCCAGCCTCCATCCAGAGTCTGCTCTCACATGGAGAGACAAAAGCTGCATGCCTTCTCCCCCAACTCTCTCTGTGTGTGAGGGGGTGTTTATTGGTTTATGATGGTCTTTTGGTGTTGCAGCCAAAAGACACCCTCTTCATTTAGGCTTTAGTGTACAACTAAAGAGACATATTTTAAACACATGCTGGCTCATCCAAGTCTCCATCTTACTTCCCTTTCATTATAGGTCAAAGAAAGTTCACATAGTTTATAGATCTATGTTTGCATTTGTCCTCGAAATGTCCTTTTCAAACCAAATTCAGTCTAAAAAAATAAACAAATAATAAGCCTTTTGTAACCAACGTGGACCAAAATAGTGTATGAGACAATGAGATATACTGCCCAATCTTAAATTACAAATTAACTGTCACTTTTTTTTTTTGTTTTACAATGAAAGGATAAATTAAGGAGGACCTATCTGAAAACATAATGTAAGCTAAAATATTTTAAGATGGAACAGGTCATAGTTTAGTGCAAACAGATTTTAGAATAGATGAGAAAAGAAATAATCAACGTCTTGGTGAAAGCCTTTCCAAATGTCTTGGAACCCGCAGCAGAGCCATTATCTGAAAAAAACAAGGAAACATGGTGAATCTTTTGTTGCTAATCCCAGCAAAATTATTTGAAGAGTTCACTATCACAAAAAATAAAATAAAAAAAAATTTCAAGTACATCTAAAGTACGTCACTTGCAGCAGTAGAGATCAGACTTCATGGTCTGATAATGACAACTAGATAAGAAAGAACACAAGCCTGATTACCAATAACCAGATTTTATTGGATGAACCCAAAATTTTTTGGAACATATTCTGTTAAATGACCAGAAAAAAATTTGCCATTTTTAAAAAGTGTTATTATGGCATAAAACTAACACAGCATCTGACACACTATATTATACTAAAAACTAAACATGGTAATGGCAGTATGATGGATTGGACCTGCTTCCAGACTAGGCAACCTGACACAACTTGATGCAATTGATAGGACCAGAAATTCTAGGCTCTGCCTTAAAATCCTGAATGTCAATATACTGTTCAAGAATTTAAGCTAAACCTCACTTTGGCTGTGAGCAGATTTATACCAACAATTTTACATCTGAATTACTGGGGGAACAACAACAACAACAACAACAAAAAAGAAAGTTATGGAGTGGCTTAGTCAAAGTCCAGATTTAAATCTGATTGAGATGCTACAATGACATGACCTTGGCAGACTGTTCACTCATGAAAGTGCTTCTGCAAAGAAGACTGAGCCTAGATTCCTCACCGTTGATTGTTAGTTAACAAAAATCCTTGATAGGAGGATGGAAAGGGCAGCACAATCAGTTATTGGGTAACTAATTAAACACAAAGCACCAGGTTGGTTTGGATGGCTCATTGGAAAAACTGCTTCTGAGCTTTTATTACTGCTCAGGTTTTTTTATTCTGATGCAACAAAGAGAGAGGGAGAGTTTGTTATAGATAGATAGATAGATAGATAGATAGATAGATAGATAGATAGATAGATAGATAGATAGATAGATAGATAGATAGATAGATAGATAGATAGATAGATAAAGTTTTAGAAAGACGTTTTAGTCTGTTTTAGATTCTAACTGGAAACAGAATAGAGATTAAAAATCAAATAAATTTGTCCTACTCACCTGTGTTTTTCTGTTTTACTCACAGACCGTGTATTGGTCTTTTAGTGTATTTCAAGGGCTTGCTCTGATCAACAATATCTTGAAATTTCCCCATAAAATGAAAAACAAAAAAACAAAACAAATGAAAGTTATCCAAACCTGATGTATTTTCTAAAATTAGATATTCTAAATTAATTGCTACCTGGCTTCCATATTTCTGTGTTTGCAGCTTGTGTCATCAGGCTTCATGGACAAGTGAAGTGTTATTAAATAATCTGCACAGTCACAAAAAGTAGTCTGACTGAATGCAGGCTTAGTCTGGTACTTTTATGAGTCTGTCTCATTTGTTCTCTAATCACCTTCCTAGTCTTGGCATATGCCCTCCTTTGTTGAGTTTAGTTCTGCTGGAGATCTTCTGTCCAAAGAAAATTATGCTGTGTACTGTTCATGGAAGTCAGAACAGAGTGGGAAGTCTAGTGACACCTAAATGCACCTGATTTCAAAGCCAGAAAAAAGTTTTCTCCCTAAGAATGTTCCAATTGCTAAAGGAATGGACATATTGTTCCTGTGTTGAAATGGAAAGTACTGAATTTGACTGAATTAAATTTTCAAACTGAGTTTTCTTCCTATAATTTACAAATGCATCAAATGTTTTCAATAGAATACCCTATTTGAGATATAGGGTATTTAATTTTTGTAGTCCAATAATATAATAAAAACTACATTTATTGTTTAATATAAGAAATATATATCAGTATACTATTTTCTTTGCATGCTTGATATCACTATTTAGAAATAAAAGAAAGAGAAACAGTGAAATAGTACCATATGAAGGCATTCTAAGAAAGGAACAAATTTATTGTTTTTTTTTTCAAATATGGTGAAGTTAACCCTGAATAATATGTCAATGTAATTTGTAACTTTAAAAAGTGCATAAATAATTAAAAAAAGATCAAGAATAGCTCTTTTGATTTAAAGGTGTTATGTATTTAATAACAATTACAAA